ATCTGCTATCCTATTCTCTGTCTTGCTCTTAATTCTTTCAATAATAACTCAGCCATACACTTTACCAGGTATACTCAACAGATTATCCCCCTATAATTTTTGCACTCTCTTTTGTCCCTTTGCCTTTATACAAAGGAACTATGCATGCTCTCTGCCAATCCCTAGGTACCTTACCCTCTTCCATACATTTATTAAATAATTGCACCAACCACTCCAAAAACTATATCCCCACCTGCTTTTAACATTTCTATCTTTATCCCATCAATCCCGGCTGCCTTACCCCCTTTCATTTTACCTACCGCCTCACGAACTTCCCCCACACTCACAACTGGCTCTTCCTCACTCCTACAAGATGTTATTCCTCCTTGCCCTATACATGAAATCACAGCCTCCCATCTTCATCAAACATTTAACAATTCCTCAAAATATTCCCTCCACCTTCCCAATACCTCCAACTCTTCATTTAATAACTCCCCTCTCCTATTTTTAACTGACAAATCCATTTGTTCTCTAGGCTTCCTTAACTTGTTAATCTCACTCCAAAACTTTTTCTTATTTTCAACAAAATTTGTTGATAACATCTCACCCACTCTCTCATTTGCTCTCTTTTTACATTGCTTCACCACTCTCTTAACCTCTCTCTTTTTCTCCATATACTCTTCCCTCCTTGCATCACTTCTACTTTGTAAAAACTTCTCATATGCTAACTTTTTCTCCCATACTACTCTCTTTACATCATCATTCCACCAATCGCTCCTCTTCCCTCCCCCCACCCACTTTCCTGTAACCACAAACTTCTGCTGAACACTCTAACACTACATTTTTAAACCTACCCCATACCTCTTCGACCCATTGCCTATGCTCTCATTAGCCCCTCTATCCTCCAAAAGCTGTTTATATCTTTCCCTAACTGCCTCCTCTTTTAGTTTGTAAACATTCACCTCTCTCTTCCCTGATGCTTCTATTCTCCTTGTATCCCATCTACCTTTTACTCTCAGTGTAGCTACAACTAAAAAGTGATCTGATATATCTGTGGCCCCTCTATAAACATATACATCTGAAGTCTACTCAACAGTCTTTTATCTACCAATACATAATCCAAAAACTACTGTCATTTTGCCCTACATCATATCTTTTATACTTATTTATCCTCTTTTTCTTAAAATATGTATTACCTATAACTAAACCCCTTTCTATACAAAGTTCAAAGGGCTCCCATTATCATTTACACCTGGCACCCAAACTTACCTACCACACCCTCTCTAAAAGTTTCTCCTACTTCAGCATTTAGGTCCCCTACTACAATTACTCTCTCACTTGGTTCAAAGGCTCCTATACGCTCACTTAACATCTCCCAAAATCTCTCTCTCTCCTCTGCATTCTCTCTTCTCCAGGTGCATACACGCTTATTATGACCCACTTTCTCGCATCCAACCTTTACTTTAATCCACATAATTCTTGCATTTACACATTCATATTCTCTTTTCTCCTTCCATAACTGATCATTCAACATTACTGCTACCCCTTCCTTTGCTCTAACTCTCTCAGATACTCCAGATTTAATCCCATTTATTTCCCCCCACCGAAACTCCCCTACCCCCTTCAGCTTTGTTTCGCTTAGGGCCAGGACATCCAACTTCTTTTCATTCATAACATCAGCAATCATCTGTTTCTTGTCATCCGCACTACATCCACGCACATTCAAGCATCCCAGTTTTATAAAGTTTTTCTTCTTCTCTTTTTTAGTAAATGTTTACAGGATAAGGGGTTACTAGCCCATTGCTCCCGGCATTTTAGTCACCTCATACGACACGCATGGCTTACGGAGGAAAGATTCTTTTCCACTTCCCCATGGACAATAGAAGAAATAAAGAAGAACAAGAGCTATTTAGAAAAAGGGGAAAAACCTAGATGTATGTATATATACAGTGGACCCCCGGTTAACGATATTTTTTCACTCCAGAAGTATGTTCAGGTGCCAGTACTGACCGAATTTGTTCCCATAAGAAATATTGTGAAGTAGATTAGTCCATTTCAGACCCCCAAACATACACGTACAAATGCACTTACATAAATACACTTACATAATTGGTCGCATTCGGAGGTAATCGTTATGCGGGGGTCCATTGTATATGCATGTGCGTGTCTGTGAAGTGTGACCAAAGTGTAAGTAGGAGTAGCAAGATATCCCTGTTATCTAGCGTGTTTATGAGACAGAAAAAGAAACCAGGAATCTTACCATCATGCAAAACAGTTTCAGGTTTCTGTTTCACAGTCATCTGGCAGGACGGTAGTACTTCCCTGGGTGGTTGCTGTCTACCAACCTACTACCTACAGTTATGTAAGTGTATTATTGTAAGTGCTTTTGTAAGTGTATTTTTGAGGGTCTGAAACGGACTAATCTAATTTACATTATTCCTTATGGGAACAAATTCGTTGGGCAACAGCACTCAAACAGCCTTCTGGAACTGAGAAACTTCGAAACTCAGGGTACCAATGTATTGGGGATTTGACTTGTCAGCGAATGGGTTTATGAAGGATGAGGTTAACCATAGAATTGATGAAGGAAAAAAGGTGAGTGGTGCGTTGAGGTATCTGTGGAGACAAAAAACTTTATCCATGGAGGCAAAGAAGGGAATGTACGAAAGTATAGTGATACCAACATTCTTATGTGGGTGTGAAGCTTGGGTTGCAAATGCTGCAGCAAGGAGGCAGCTGGAGGCAGTGGAGATGCCCTGTCTAAGGGCAATGTGTGGTGTAAATATTATGCAGAGAATTTGAAGTGTGGACATTAGGAGGAGGTGTAGAGTTACTAAAAGTGTTAGAGGGCTGAAGAGGGGTTGTTGAGGTGGTTTGGTCATTTAGAGAGAATGGATCAAAGTAGATTAACTTGGAGAGTGTATAAATCTATAGGGGCAGGAAGGTGGGGTAGGGCTCATCCTTGAAAAAGGTTGGAGGTAGGGGGTAAAGGAGGTTTTTTGGGTGAGGGGCTCGTACTTCCAGCAAACGTGTGTGATCGTGTTAGATAGGAGTGAATGGAGATGAATGGTTTTTGGGACCTGACAAGCAGTTGGAATGTGAGCAGGGTAATATTTTGTGAAGGGATTCAGGGAAACCGGTTAGCCGGACTTGAGTCCTGGAAATGGTAAGTACATACAATGCTTGCATTTCATAGGAGGGGTTTGGGATATTGGCAGTTTGGAGGTTGACTTTTAAACTGTCGTATCTGAGCGCCTCTGCAAAGACAGTGATTATGTATGAGTGAGGTGAAAGTGTTGAATGATGAATGTATTTTCTTTTTGGGGATTTTCTTTCTTTTTGGGTCACCCTGCCTCAGTGGGAGACGACCGACGTGTTGAAAAAAAAAAAATTGGAACACGCCCCATGTGGGCATACTGTGTATTAACTTTTTTAGTATTGCTTTCACCTTGAAATCAAAAGCAGCTAATGAATGTGCAATGCTGTATGCAACCACCCAGGGAGGTACTGCCGTCCTGCCAAGTGAGTGTAAAACGAAAGCCTGTAATTGTTCTACATGATGGTAGGATTGCTGGTGTCCTTTTTTCTGTCTCATAAACATGCAAGATTTCAGATACGTCTTGCTACTTCTACTTACACTTAGGTCACACTACACATACATGTTTTTTTTTTTTTTTTTCCAACAAGTCGGCCGTCTCCCACCGAGGCAGGGTGACCCAAAAAAGAAAGAAAATCCCCAAAAAGAAAATACTTTCATCATCATTCAACACTTTCACCACACTCGCACATTATCACTGTTTTTGCAGAGGTGCTCAGAATACAACAGTCTAGAAGCATACACATATAAAGATACACAACATATCCCTCCAAACTGCCATGTACATGTACAAGCATATATATACACACCCCTCTGGGTTTTCTGCTATTTTCTTTCTAGTTCTTGTTTTTGTTTATTTCCTCTTATCTCCATGGGGAAGTGGAACAGAATTCTTCCTCCGTAAGCCATACGTGTTGCAAGAGGTGACTAAAATGCCGGGAGCAAGTGGCTAGTAACCCCTTCTCCTGTATAAATTACTAAATTTGAAAAGAGAAACCTTTGTTTTTCTTTTTGGGCCACCCTGCCTCGGTGGGATACGGCCGGTTTGTTGGAAAAAAAAAAAACTAGCCTTGGTGGGACATAGTCGATGTGTTAAAAAAAAATAGCATGCTAGTTTTTATGAAAATGAATGGATACATGCCTGTCCAGCAAACCTTTCCCTCTCACTCCCTATTACATAGGGCTACATGCAGCAGCCATTGACTCATGTTATGTCTCTAAGACTGGCTTCCCCTTCTTGTCAAATTTGCCATTCTTATCCTCTACAGTCATCTTGACTAGACTGTCCAACATCCATTTTTTTTTTTTTTTTTTTAACAAGTCGGTCGTCTCCCACCGAGGCAGGGTGACCCAAAAAAAGAAAGAAAATCCCCAAAAAGAAAATACTTTCATCATCATTCAACACTTTCACCACACTCACACATTATCACTGCTTTTGCAGAGGTGCTCAGAATACAACAGTTTAGAAGCATATACGTATAAAGATACACAACATATCCCTCCAAACTGCCAATATCCCAAACCCCTCATCTTCCTTAAAATACATGTATTTTGGGGGTAATACAGAGAAACTAGACTAATGGTACTCTGTTCTTATTATTTCTAGGGCTTTGATGATTATGTTGATAAAAGAAAAATGTCTTTTAAAATCTGCTTGATTCTGCACTGAAACTTGAAAGATCACCAGTGTTAAATTAAATCATGAAAGTACTTGTCTATTTTGTTTAGCACTTAAAGGTCTGTGGTTTTGTAGCATTCTAGACATACTATATGAGAGATTTCTTTCATTACATTTGTTTCATTTAAACAGTGAAAATAATCTGTCTAAAATAATCAGCTCCTTAATTTCTTTATAATGTATGTAGTATTTATTTTATAACCAGTCCAGTATACAACCTGTTTATAATGCTGCTCTCTCTCACAGGGTGATCATTATAACACAGTCATGCCCAACATCTTTCAAGGTCTTCAAGATTTAGACGAGAAGAGAATCAATAACTTCAAGAATCTTCTAAAAAAAAGTGTTGAAATTGAACGCTCAGTCTTTCCAATCATAAACAAGTGTTTAGATGGAATTGTATCTGCTGCAGACTCAATAGATGAAAAAAATGTAAGTTTTCATTACTTCAGTTAAATTTTATCATTAATATATAAGTAAAATTTGTGATCTGTAATGCAGGTGCTATACCTCCTGCCTCTAGGGCTCAAGTTTGGCTGGCTAGTTTTCCCTGAATCCCTTCACAAATGTTACCTTGTTCACATAACAACAACATGTCAGATTCTTAAAACCAATTGTTGCCACTCCAGTTGAACAAGCTTACACATGCTTGCTGGATGTTCAAGCCTGTACTACTTAAAACCTTCTCTAAATCCTTTCTCAAGCCCTTCTGAGGATTATCCCTATTTCTCCTGTCTTATGCCTAATACTTATACATGCTTAATACTTAACATCCTGTTCTGCTCTGTTCTCTCTGAATGCCCAAAACACTTCAACAGTTGCTTCTCTGCCTTCTCCAGTATGTTAGTTATGGATAGTAGGTTGGTAGAGAGCAACCATCCAGGAAGGTAGAACTGTACTGTCACATGATTGTGAAACAGAAACTTGTTAATTGTTTTACATACCAGCAGGATTGCTAGCTTTTTCTTTGTGCCTCATAAACATGTAAGATGGCAGGTAAATCTTGCAATTACTGTTAACATCCAGTAAATGCAAATGTATATGCATGTATATAAATAATCTGAGTTTTCCTCTCAATTTCTTAAGGGTTCTTGCGTTAGTATTTTTTTCCTTTCAGTTCTGTGGGAAAGTTAAGGATGGAATCCTTCCTTTATAAGAAGTGTTGTAGAAGGCAATTAAAATGCTGAAAGCAAGGGGTTAAGAAGCTTTCTTCTGTATCATTTGCTAAAAAGCAAAGGAAATTAATTTTATAAAGAGGAATTAATATGATTCACTAATCAAACTCGAATAAAACAATTTAAAATAAGTATTGTATTTTCATTATTCATTTTTCTTGTTCCTTCCAAGGATTCTCAAGTTGTAATAGAACGGTATAAATCAGGCTTCACCCCACCTGGTGATATTCCTTTCGACGACCTTAGTACACCAAGACAAAATGGTGAAACAACTCCAACAGTTCACCCACCAATCAGGCAGGACACCATTAAAGGCACAATATCAGCATCTAAGTTGAAAAAACGTGGTGGCATTTTTGGTATATTTGGCTCAAATAAGGTAAGCTTAGAATACAAATTTAAATAAAATAAAAGCAGTTGGAGTAAGGTTTTGAAATGAGGCTCATATATATTGTCGTAAGTGAATTAACTGTGTAAATGTTTAAATCTTATTTTGTTAGTACGAGATTGTGTCTAATAAGAATGAATTAATACTAATCAGAGCCCAGTAAATAATTTCCTAGATTAATCATAATGACCTGTATGTCTGTTCTCCCTTCACGTTTGTGAATTGCTATCACACCCCAAACCTTATTCATGGCTTCTGATTGTTGGTTCACCAAGTTTTTGACCTGAGCTTTTTTCTGGTATGATGCCATGCAGATTATCATGTCTTCTGGGACACCATTACATGGGTGTGCTTATTTGCACACCCATGTAATGATGTGCCCCACAAGTAATGACGGTGCCCCACATGTAATGATGGTGCCCCACATGTAATGATGGTGCCCCACATACATTCTGTGTAGGGGCTTCATATCAGTGTAAATGGTGTATATTAATCATTTAGTGTTGTGAAAGTCAAGACTTGGAACTTGACTTGGTGTGAATCAAGATGAAGGCTCAAATTGTGGCATGGCCATTTGGGGTTGAAATATTTGTTGTGATTGGATACCCATTTAATTTGCATAATTGTTTAGCATACTGTGTAAAGTGCATACACATGATGGAAAACTTTGATCTGATGGTATAACTATATTGTTAGATCATATGCACCCCAGTTATTGGTTCCAGATCAATAGGAATCCTGACTACCATTCGTTTAGTGGTATAGGGACTCAAATGGTATGGTTTTTCCATTTTGTGTTATGCTAAATAGTAGCTCAAATCCTGGCACGTGCATTTGGGTTTGAGAAATGCATACTTTACATACCTCTTGGCTTTGTATAATGATGGAGATGCATTCTGAGAAGATGCCATCTAATGCTAATCTGCTTTATTTGAACCTGGTTTTACGGATTATATGTGGGGGTTAGGTTTCAGATCTTGAGGCTTGATTGCCAAGGCCCAGCATAGTATTCCCATATCTGTCTCACTAGTGAACTACTGGTAAGTTTGCAAAAAACAAAATTTAATGGTAAAAATAACATAAAACTATATTATTAATATCACATTTTATTCTCTCATTCTTGTTAAAAATGCTTATTTCATTAAAATGTTATGTTCATATTCTTGACATAATGATTAATAGTTGAATTAATGTATTGACAGACAATACTAAAATTTGTTTGAGAGTAGTATCCATTGAGGACACAGTAGTTGATGAAACCAGATCTTCCAGTGGACCACAGAAAACGATGTTCACCGAGAACAAATTTTAGTTACTCTGCTAGGGAAAAAATGAAAACTTAATATTTGGAACTAAGCATAAAACATAGACCACTCAATAGAATAAATGAGGAATGTGAGGGACTTGTTAGAATATCAGATGTTGTGGTGAAGGATCACAAGAGTGTTCCTAGTAGAGTCACAAGGTAAATGATAGATTGGATAACTAGAATCTGGAGATCAAGAGATGCCACTTATGCTCTCTGGACTGGAATAGAGTATTATATGCTCACAACCCCTTTTAGGCAGCCAGAATTGCAGATGTGTCAAATTTATAGAAAATTCATTGCCCATAAAAATTCAGTCAAACACTTACATTACTAGGACTGCCATAAGTCTCTTGCACTGTGCTCCCTAGAATGGATATGAGAAGGATACATAATTTTATACCTTGAAAACTCTGGAGGGATTTGTTCCAAATCTGTACAGTGATATTACTGCCTATAATAGCAAGAGACTCAGCAGATGATGCATAATACTCCTATTGACAGGTAGGACAGAATTTTGTGCACATTCATTTTCTGAAAATCCTCAGCTCCACCTGCCTTTTACACATTTTCTAACTCCTATCCTGGCATGGGAACCCCTACCTTCCATGGTAGTCTCTCATAATTTAATGAGTGTACACAAATAACCCGCACATAAAAGAGAGAAGCTTACGACGACGTTTCGGTCCGACTTGGACCATTGACAAAGTCACACTAACAGAGGTGGAGCAGGACGGCTATATATAGGCAGGAAGAGGTGGAGGTAGTAGTAGTAGTAGTAGTAGTACAAGAATTGTATATAATACTGACAGGATGAAATGACACATGCACAACACCCGGGCATCCCCACCGTAGACGTTTCGCCATCCAGCCAGCCACTGGATGGCGAAACGTCCACAACAAAGACAACCAGACGCCGCACATGATGTACTACTACTACTACCTCCACCTCTTCCTGCCTATATATAGCCGTCCTGCTACACCTCTGTTAGTGTGACTTTGTCAATGGTCCAAGTCGGACCGAAACGTCGTCGTAAGCTTCTCTCTTTTATGTGCGGGTTATTTGTGTATCGTTCCAGTCACAGTATTGTGCCTTTTTGTTATTTATTTATTTAATGAGTGTAGTCTCTTACTGATAGATCTCATGTACAGTACTTGGGGTACCCTAGTGTTTGCTAGTGATTACATTTGCTAGTTAAGTGTTGGAATGCAGGCAGTAGGCAGTGAGGTGAACTTGAGTCAACACCCAAAACTTAACACAGGGTTTGTAACGAGAGAGCTACACTCAGATCCTGCCTATTGAGAGTTTTGAACATAGCTAGGTGTATAAATCACCTAATTAATATGCTGCAAGTTTCCTGTCTCATTACTTTTTACTCTGGTACTCTGAGTTTTCCACCTTCCAGTTTACTACAGCCTTCTTTTTGAATTTAGGGTTGGTTGTAGGGTTCCTATGTTGTAAATTATAATCTGACCACAAACTACAACTTTTTGAAGTATGAAAAACTAGTCTCTGTAGGTTTGATGAACCACAGAGACTGCCACTTCTCTGTGTCAGCTATTTTGACCTAGATTCTTAAAACTAAGTATGTTGCCCACTTGAGACTGAATAAGAAAAAAAGAAAATGGGTATTTCCAGGAGAGAATGGAAGGTGGAATACTGAGTTAAAAGTGGTAGAGAATTCCAAATATTGATGAAGTATTCTGTCTATAAATCAGTTATAACCCTAATGATGAACTTGGATTTTTTAAGTTATTCTGACATGATGTAATGAGGTAGCGACAAGACAACTGGTACATGCCTTACAATATAATCAACTCTTGAGCCATGTAATACCAATAACTTTGAAAATTTTCAAACCCCTGTGGCAGTAGTTTTTGAGATATCACAGTATTCTTAATTTTTGGTAATAAAGTTCTTTTAGTGGGTATATTTTTAAGTGGGATAACTTCCCAGAATTCATATTGGTAATAAGTATTTATTTTTGCATGTCAAAATTATTTTAAACATCTTTGCTGATTTTAACCATCAGATGTCTCTAGATGCTTTGTTTTCAGAGGATCCATTTAGTTTAATATATGAATTGGGCGATTTAAAACTGAAATATTTGATATTTAGCTGTTTTGTTGCTTTCCAGGTGTTTTGTGCACTTTTATCTAATTCTGGAGTTTTGTGACAGTTATCATTGAGATAAACCTGTTATTTAAAGGAGCTTCCCAATCACATTTTTTATTATTCTGGTTCTATATTTATTATTTTTCACTTGACCATGAATCTATGGTCTTATCATAAAGATTCAAATATATTTCAGCTCATATAGTTTAGTTCTTCTGTATGATGCTTTAAGATCCAGGGTGATACCTTGACTGGGCTTTTCTTTTTTTCTTTTTTCTTTTTTCTTTTTTTTTTTTTTTGTCAAAAATCCAGTAGTTGTTTTCTTATTTGATTATTTCGATGTGCTCCATCTTGGTTTGCTGCTGTAGGCTCTGGTCCCTTAAGTAACAGTTCTTTTCTTCTGTAAATACACTCTGAAGCTTTATATTCAATATCTCACATGTCCTCTTCTGATTCAGCCATTTTGTTATTGCCTTTAATTCTTTGTTTAGGATTTTATGTTTCATATGTAATTTATTATTTTCAGCCTTAAGTATGAGATGTGGCTCCTCTTTTGAATTTTTTTTTTTATTTTATTATTCTTCTTTGTACTGCATTAACTTCTGGCTTATCTGTTATGGGCTGCTGTGCTTTCTATAGTAAGTGAAATTTG